CAAATGATTAGTTCAAAGGGATAATAAAATACTACATCTTATCTTCAAAAACAACAAATCATTAATGATGTATGAAAAGATATCAAGTCAAGAACACTTACCTTTTGGGTTGCACTGGCTATTTTAAATCTGGATGTTTTCCAAATGTTAAGATGACCTCAATGAATCTCCAGAAAGCTACTTCGGACTGTTGAAACTAATTTAGGCTATATTGTGATGTTTTTGGTATTTTTTGAAGGTTTAGATGAATAACACTACAGGGACTATTTTTATGTTTGGATAGTCTTTGTAGATGAAGAGTTGTTTGGCTTATGAGAGATTTTGTATGGTAGAGTAATGGGTTGGGGTCTTGTTTTGAATAAAAACAGAACTTTTGTTTTGAAAATGAATGAGTCAAGTTTTTTCAAAGCATGTTGTTTTTCTGCTCAACAAAAACTCTCTATTCTCTAACTCAAAATCCCAGTTCAAAAATCCAGCCTCTCCAAAAAATCAAGCCCCTTTGTCTTATGAGACAATCCCTTTTGTAGACCTTTGACTGTGGTTTAGGGAGGAAACCAAATAAGTTATTTTGAATTCTTTTTGCCTACTATTTTGACACTTTCTTCACACAATTTTCCTTTGCAATTTTGGGGCTGTTATGATGCAGGCTTGGGCAGACTACATAAAGCAGTTTTGGACTGTATTGGGCAGCATGCATACTTGGGGTGCAGCATAGCACAAGCTTTATTGCAGGGCAGCATGGGGTGTCGTGGCAATGTGGCATATCACATTTTGTTCAACTTGGACAATATGATTTGTAGCATGACACAAATTTGGTCTTGTGGAATATTTCATGTACATTATGTCAATGGCAAAATAATGTGGCAAGGTTTTTTTTTTGAGAGAACTCAATAAAGACATAGTTTTAGAATTTGTAATTTTGCAAAAATGCCACTTGGTAATAACTTGAATTACTTGCATCATTTTGAATTATTTGGAATTGTAGTAAAAGATGTCATGAAATAAATGAAATTAACCAAGTATAGAAAATACTTAGAAAAATTTCAAAGTCTTGCAAAGTTGGATTTTGATTCTCTTGATTTTTGATGATCAAATTTCATATTTTTGGATGTCTTGACATAATGTGATTTTTGGAACTCAAATTTGGTCAAAAAGTCAAAGTTTGACTTTTTAGCGTCTGATTGACTTTTTTCAACTAAAACTCTGATTTTGCTCATTTTGCCCCCCCCCCCCCTTTTGATAATTTGAATGATTCTTCTTAGAAAATTGTGATCAGAGGCTTGAAACTTGATTGAAGTAGTTCTAAGTGTCTTTGAGACATGAGAGGGCAAATTTTGGGGTACAACAGTCGACTACTAACCCCAGACATATATTCTTGATATCTTTGTAAGAGCTTTTTTCGGTCTGTCTCTTTCATATGTATCCGCCACCGACCTCGGATATGTATCTTTACTACCTTTTTCATATGTCTGCTACTGACCTCAGGCATATATCTTTTCTTGTCATGCATTCGCTACCAACTCCGAACAGATGTTACTTGATAACCAAGTTCTTCTTCTGTGTGTCTAACCCTGGTTTGACATACATTTATCCCCAATAACTACTTCAATCCAAAAAAAGAAAAAAATAATAGAAAATACAGAAAACCAAAAATATAATAATGCCTGACCGGCTTCGAAGCGCAAAATTTTGGGTTCTTTTAGTATTTAATCTTCTTCCACTTTGAAAGTTCGAAAGGTTGACGCCAATCTCACCTTTAGGTTGAAGGAGATTAAATAGGGGAAGCTGTTGCACCCCAAACTTTGTCCTCTTAATTGCACTTCTATTCTGGCTTAGACTTTGCATTCATCTGCATCATTCCAATAGGTCATGTGCATAGCATGAATTTTCATAAAAAAAAGAGAGCACCCGAGGTTTAAAAAATCAGTAGTTATGGAGCTAGGGTTCACAGCTGATTTGAGCCGTATATGTTGAATAAGATGAATCATTATGTTTCTTCTTGGTGTGGGAGACTGTGGAATTAGGGCTTTGGTTCATGACCAGTTTGGATTTCTTCTCCATCAAGCAACAAGGTTATTCTCTTCGTCTGAATATCAATATGAAAGGTGTTTCTTGTCAAGAAATCAAGGGCATGACCTAGCGTACGTGGGCTTTGAATCAAGGCGTCTCTTCATATAAGTGTGATTATCATTTGGTCAGGCTTAAGGACTATCACATGGCATTCATCCACTCTTCAATTATCCAATTCCGATTTTGATGAATCATAGTTCAGAGGATAATTGAATTGTGAATTTAGGGTTTTGATTTATGTTCATTGTGGATCTCTTCCTTATCAAGCTACAAGGATATCTTCCTCAAGGTAAGAGACAGAGCCATTTTCATTACAGTGCATCTCAAGAATATTGTAATTCTCATGCATGGCAATTAAGCGTGTCAATTCATCAATTGGGCTTCATGGCATTTACATGTTAAGGTTGTCTTGGTGGTTATTCCTCCTATGTCTCAAGATCCATATTCATCTTCAAAGGATTACTCGAGGGGTTATTATGTTCTCGAGTTGTTGTTACTTGTAATACAAGTTAAAGTTTCATGGGGAGTTGGGGATCTAATTAGGGAAGTATGCATCCATGTCTTTGCGATGTAAGTGTCATAAGTATTTTCTACAATACAAGGTATGAGTAAATTCAAGGGTTATAAAGCATGATCTCAAGATTAGTTAAGGTTCTCAAGCACATGTTTGTCAGAAGGTGATTCATGCTAGTATTGGAAGGAAGTTCATGTGGATTTCTTCACAAGTTAGCTGGGACTTATGATTTCAATTAATTTTGAGGCGCATTAATCAAGCGTGTAAATTGGAAATAATACAACTTTTCAAACAAATAGTCAAGGCATGAAATCACTTTCAATTTCAAGTGGAAGATTCAAGTTCCAATTGTCTAGTCAAAATTTCAGGCAAAGTTCTTCATCCAATTTCAGATCAAAGTTCCATTAACCATTTCAAAACCTCTTCATTCCATATTCAGCAAAAATTCCAACAAGATCGTTCATTTACAAATTTATCAAGTCCTTTAAATTTCAAATATCATACACCATTTTTGTTCAAATTACATTCAAAACCTATGCAAATTCCATACGTGTCCATTGCATAGTTCAATTACAAGATATATTCAAATTCATTCAAAGCTACAAGAAAACTTAAACCTAACAAAGTCTATCCTAATTTCAATCATTCTCCATGTTCCAGCGTTTGACTAAGCTTTATGTTGAATGTCTTGCAATCTTCCCTTTCAGCCATGCCTTGCTAGTGGGCTTTAAGTTCACGTTTCTTTTAAGGACCAATCTCAGGTTGCATAAGGATAGTTCATCATGGATTACACCAACGTGTCCAAATCTTCTAAATCATTATGTCTCCTAAAAGAACCAACCTGATGCATTCTTTAAATAATTGTCTGCAAAGATTACCCAAAACAAAAACGAAAGTTCATCAGAAAACTGGAGTAAATGCTACACCATAAATCGCTTTGCATTATGCTTCAGTGGACGACTTGCTTATAGTTTTAAAACAGTTTTGGGTTCAATTAAAATAGGGATTAGAAGATGTTGTGTTGTGAGTCTAGTTCAAACAGAAAGTAATCAAACATGTACATACATATACAGTCCACAACTTCTAAGTCCACTCAACCATGTCAATATCATCCTAGCAATGTAAACACAACCCACAAAGCCAAAGTAATTATGCTACTAAACCACATCCACAACTGCTAAACATAAGTTGAAGCTAACTATTAACCTTCTGACCTTACCTCAAAAAACCAGTTCTCTAAATACACCGGCTAATAAAATCAGGTTCAAGCAATTAACAAAAATTTGAATCAATAGCAACTAACTAGTCCTAAGCCTCATTCCAGTTCACAATAAAATTGTATCAAACTTCCTAACAGAAAACTAACCTCCTAATAATCTCTAACAGAACTTCCAAACAGAATCCCAACTTCTCCTAACTGATTTCATAACTCCCTCTAACTAAAACCTCTCCAAACTTCCTAACAAAAAATCAGGAAAAGGAGAATAAAACTCATAGCTTTCTAGCTTACCATCAATTAACAGAAAACTTCCTAACGGTTTTTAACCATAACAGGATTTCCTAACAGTTTACCCAACTTATCTAACAGTTTTGGCTAAACCAACTGTAAGCTCTAACTAACTTCTAACCAACAACTAAAAACTTACTAACAACTAAACTGAAATTCAACAAAAAACTAACCATCATTAATCCCTAAAGCTAACCTCTCTTCCCTCTACTGTCAGTTTAAAACCATGTCTATTTTCCCTTCTAGAAATTTTCTAAAAACAACTTCAAAATTTTCATTAACAGTTAGGTAACAGAACACCAGCTCATCATAATTTCCATAACTAACTACAAACATAATTTCAAAGCCCTAGATAACATTTAACTGTTTTCAGTTTTAAGGTCTTAACATATTTGCTAATTTTCCAGCTCTTACAACTGATTCCTAATAGAAACCAAATCCCTAACAGAATTTAACAACTCCCAGTAAATCTTTTTTTCTAGGGCAGGGAATCATTTCCTTGTAACTAACTATTTCCAGGATAACAGAATATAAAAAAAAAGAAATCTTACCAGAATCGATTCATTCTAGAGGACCCTGAAGAATCACCGAGAAAGATTCTTCCCGCTTCTTCCACCGCCACCTTCAACTTCCACCTTCAACCTTCAATTTCTCTTCACCTTCATCTTCATCTTCATCTTCATCTTCCAGAAAGAATAAGAGAAACTCTCTAATCTCTTGGCTTCTCCGCTCTGAATTCTCGTGGAATTTCCCTTCGACCCTCCATCGCTCTCATTACAATCGGAGCTTCGTCTTCTTCATCGAACAATCGTACTCATCCTTTGCTTCAACAAGAACGTAGCGTCAACACAAAACCGAGATAAAAGAAGAAAGAAGACGAAGATTTCACAAGGTAAATGAAGACAATACATGTATCTGATTAGTCTTCTCGTTTTCTGTTCGATTGAATCTGTGACGATCAGGGAGGAGTTTGCAGTGCACTGTGACTGTATTCATCATCTTCGGATCAATCTTAGGTGTCATCACAGGTTGGTGATCCTTCGCTCTTTCTTCGATTTCTTGATACGAATAGGGGGAACGGAGAAAGTAGAATCGGAATCCCAAGGAAGTGTGGTTGGAGGCGTTAACATGACGATTGAATTTTGCCTTGAATATACTTAGGGTTCAGACCGTTATTGTTAGATATAGGAGGATTAGGATGGAATCAAATAAAACAAACTTTGGATTTAAATATAGAAGTTTGATCGAAAAGAAATAAAG